TTTATTGCGGTCGCGCGCGCGCAGGACGGCGGGAAAATGAAACAAGAAGGGTAGCGGAAACTGAGGCCGAAACGAAGCATCGTGATTGTCTTGACTAACCGTTAAATCCTGATTGGTGGTTCATTCCTCGTGCAATACGCGTCGATTTCGCCTCGCCGCCCATTTACCCGGCAACTTCTGGCTGTCGTGGTTTGTATCGTATTGCATCAATCTGCTGCGGTACCGTCTATCGCCATCGGTTCTCCCTCGCGACTGTCTCGTAATAAAATCGATTTAGTTAAGCCCCCCGTGCGGAAACTGCACGCCGTGCAGTAATATCGGGGCCATTTAATAACGACCACTTGGGTATCTCAATGATTGTGTTAATAAGCGCGATTGCGCTTCGTACCTGATTATTGAAGCGTTGTAAAACGCGCCGTGTAAGTGTTAAAATTATATCGCCGATATTAATGGTAATTGAATATACTAGTGCACGGCATATCGCCAATGGAAACGATTACGTATACATTTCATTACCGGATATTGCGTATTTTCCACGTGTAAATTTTTGATCGTCGGTTTACCGTTTCATGAATATCAACTCTAACGTGAAAAAATGCAGAGGGACGCACATCGATAGGACCGTGCGTACTATGGCGTAAAGATGGTTTAAAACTTTTTTAATAAAAGGAGAATCTACAGGTTTCAAGTTAATGGACGGTATTAATTGCGATACAGCTGAGGGCGTGAGACACAAGTGAACTGCTTCTTTGTGGTCGGCGCTCCCCTTGCCGTCTCGACGAGGGCCAATGTTGCGTGCTGCGTAATGAGTTGTTGGAAGTGCATCTACTCAAAGACCCTAAAATGAGGCACAAGTAACTAAAGAGTCTCGTAAAGCTGAACGACTTCGAAAAAAAAAAAAGAAGGGAGAAGAAATGTGGTTTCTGTTTAGAGTTACAGTCGCCGGTGTTCCTTTACGATCTGAGACGAGCCCCTTCCTACCGGTTAATCCCTCTTTCTATCGTAAATCCGATAAAAAGGAAGGACGCAGTACAGTTTTTTATCGGCGATAAAGCGCACTTGAAATGTTACTCTCCGCCGCGATACGTGCTATATCGCCGCCGCGTATCATCTCTGTCGTACGTTTTATTGATTAACCGCACTCAAATCTTTATATCATCTCAGATAAATGCGCCAATGCGAATAAACAGAGCGAATCGGCAGATGTTCACATAGAATTTGCGAGAGATCACGCCGAGAAGATCCGTTTTATTGAAATCGTCACGTCGCGTCGCTTTTCAAGGTAGCCGTATCGTAGAGCGCTGTATTTTCAGTGGTGTAAGCAGGCTCATAAATTAAGTATTTATCAAGCAAAATAACGTTTTTATACATTTATTTTACTGCTTAAATAATTAATTAATTAATTAATTGTGAATGAAGTTGAAGCAGACATATTTGCGTAGTATTATTAGGTGTATAAATTAATTCAGTGACTTGTTTGGCATCAAATATCAAGATTTATTTATCAATGGAAGGTGTTGAATTTTAATTATCGAAGTTATTTCCGCTATTGCTAATAATTTTGCATTATTTATTGGGCAGCTGTCGAATTCCATCGCGGAAACTCGGTTTTAAATCAATAAATTATATCGATAGACTTTTGAATGCCTTCTATTGTTTATAATAAGTAATATAGTAAAAATGTGTTTTATTATTTGATTGTCATACTTTATAATACTAATTTATAAAAATTAAATATAGCCTATATTTCTTAAATTATAGCTAAATAACTTTTTTGTTGTTGTCATTTTCAGCTTCAATATTTAAACATAAATAGAAAAAACTAAAATTCAAAAAGAATACAAATTTATGATACCAAATTTATTGACCGATGTTATTGTCAACGGCGAGTGGCAAAGCATAATATTTTACCAAACAACGCGGTTGCAGGAAGGAACTTCGCTTTCTACATTTTAAATTCCAAAAACACCTGCTCACATACGTGGGACGCCTCGGATGATCTCTCTCGTCGTAATGCCATTTTATCGTCCAACTTTCAACATTGTAATATTTGAAAAAATGCGCATAATTCCAAGGCGTCTTTCCCCGTCGCGCATTTGATAAATTCTTAAAAAGGCGGGTGCCACGGCGGTTTCGCTTGTATGACCGAAAGACCGCGAGAATCATGGCGAGGATTAGGCTGGGCCAGCGGAAGCAAGATGAGTGAACGCCGTAAGAAGTCATCGACGGGGGAGAGAAAGAAGGCAAGGCTTTCTCTACCTTGTCTTCGGACGCAACGGGTACACCTACGAAATCAAGCGGCGCGCTTAGGACGACTGTTCGGCAAACAAACACGACGGGAGATAAAGTTACCCCCGGCTAAATTGGGTTAGTTGAAATCCGTTTACGCTAACTCTAATGGTGAAAGCGTGAGTCGCATGCGGCATCGACACCGAACTTCGACATCCGTTGAGAACCGTTGGCCGCGGGGGCAACTCTCGACGCATGGCGGCGTTTATTCTTCCGATCAATTTTTTAACTGTCAAATATATCGTTACTGAGAAATATCGCCGGCTCGCACTTCCGGCTACGATTTGTTTTCGAATCGCGTGTCACGAGGCAGATGCAGCGACACGCTGTTATGCAGTATGTATACGGAAAAAAAGTTTAATTGTATTAACCAAAAAGGGAACAACCAGATGCATTTTGGTTGAAAGAAACCGAATTTCTGGTTATAAGAATCACACTTTGGCCACAAGAACCAGAAATTCTGTCTCCTTCAACCAAATCGAATTGTTTCTTTTTTTCTGATTATACAACCAGACATTTTTCGTGTAGAAAAATTTGCAGTAAAGTTCGCATATATGCTGGCGATGTCGGGTAACTTTTAATTTTAAAGCCAATGACAACTGATATCGATATAATTGATTTTACACAGGCAATTAGCTTTTGTATTTGTACAGAGCGCTGGTAATACGTGACGCGTAATCGAAGCCTGGTATTTCACGTCGTTTGAACGCGAATGATGGAACGGCACATTATATTATCTGTCGGTAGATAATGGAACGGTTGAATTTGTCCGCTGGCTAATAATTAATGGTCGCAGAATAATAACAACTTAAGTCAATACAATCACGTTTATATATCGATGCTACAATTGCAGAACAAGATAATTGCATAAACAATAAATAGTGCTGTGTATCTTTAATGTATTCATTAATATGTGATATTAATGATATTACCAGATTGTTAATAAAATGTTAAATAAAGTGGTTCTATGTGGTAATTAAATATCGTTAATATCAATAAGGATGGAAAAGCTTGCAAGCTACAATGAAAGCGGTAGCGTGAGATACATGTCATTGTATTGTAAATTTAGGAGATTATACTAAAAAGGGAAATTTATATATATTATTTATAACAAAAATATAAAAAGAGTTACGTTGCAGGATAAAATATTATTTTACATGGTAAAAGTACAAAACAAAAATATATTAGATAGGTAAATTGATTTAGTGTTTTTACTAAAAAATCCATTATAAAAAAATCAAGATTTATTTGTCAATAAAAGTTGTGCAATTTAAACTATCGAAATAATCTCCGTTATTACCGATGACCTTATGTAGAACACCATGAATGATCATCGTTATACCGTAATGTCCACCGTTAATCCAATGCTGTCCTATTAAATTAATATAAGAAATATTTAAAATATATATCTAAAATATAAGATTGAAATTGTTCGAGCAAACTCTCTAAACATTAGACATCTTATAAAAGAGAATTTGCGACAAACCTCGTAGCTTGTTCCGCGAAATGTCATTGAGGTCGGGGGAATTCTTGTCGACGTGCCGCGCGCCGACGAAGTTTGCTCTGATTCAACTACATTTTTTTCTCGTAACGTAGTTTTAAGTACGAACTCTATCTGTCGTGTTGGCGAGCGAGGTACCAGGACAGGTCGTGCGAACACGGCTACGCGTTCGAGATAGAATCGGGTCGGGAACATTATCACGGCGGGACCGAAAACTCCATCCCGGAACCGCTTCGGAAATAAAGGAGGAAGAAAAGAGAGAGAGAGAGAGAGAGACTCGTCTTTGGTATCTCCGGCGGAACAGCGGTCGGTATCTACCGGGTAGAGGAGGTTAAAGGCCGAACTCCTTTTTTCCATCTCCCTCTCAGAAAATGCACCGTCGGGAATAGAGAACCGCGGGGGCCCTACGCGATTTCACTACGGAGAACCGTAGCGGTTCGCCTTTTCTCGCCTTCCTCGCGAGGTCGGGTTCAAATAAAACGAAACCCGACCATAATTCCGACGACGTTGATGCGCAGCTGTGGCAATCGCGTTAAAAAAGTGCAGGCGAGCATTGCTCGAGCTCTTTTCAGATTACAAGCTCCTCTCCTACCGTGTAGGAAGACATTAACGTGCACGATATACATGTGACATTATCGTGCCGCAACATTACCTCTCTTACTCCGCTTGAATTTTACTTACTAATTTTATTTCAAATAAAATACACTCCTCCTCGTGCCGCTGTGCACATGCGTGCGAATCTGGAAGTGAGTGCTCGGAACTTTTCCTAGAGCAGAGTTCGAGCGTTTAAACACTTATCTGCTTTTAGCGAGATCGCCCATTTTCGCTGGGGCGCGCTCGCAACACCAAGTTCATTCATCCCGTTCCGATCTCCTCGGACTTTTCTTTTCCCGTCAAATAGAATATCCCCTCGCGATCCCATGATCTTCTTTCACACTTTCTGCCTCGATATTGCATTGCAAGACTCTTCTTTCTATTTTCAGATCGAGACCGCGTGAGAAATGATGGCCATCTAAGAATCCTCTCTCCGATGGGCGACCAGTTTTTGAGGATGTGCAGTTTGGTGTTAAAGTGCCGGTGAACGCGCGGAGCGACCGATTCGCGCACCTATGATTCTCCTTCCTTTCCATTATCGCGCTTCATCTCACGGGGAGTCCGCGCTAACGATGCCATAGTCGCCCAAGTGCGAACTGATTTCACGTCGGACACAATGGCACTGTTGTTCGCCATAATCGTTATTTCAATCGCCACTGCCATGTCGCTGCCGCCGGTCATTAGAATCGGTGAGTCCATAACGATCGATATTTGTTACCTTCAGGCTCAACTATGCATGAGAAGACTTACAATTAGTTCGATTCATCCACTATGCGTGATAGCTTTTTATATGTAACGAGCTGAACTAATAATTTATTGACCAAACAATTTTCCGCTACGTAAAATAGCCGAAGGTTGTCGTATTTATTCGACGATACGCACGGTAATGCAGTTTTTTCGCGAAACAATGCTTCGCGCGGAATTTCTGATTGAACGGATAAATTCTTGATCGACAAGTGGCATAGCTAGAATTAGACCATTCGTATGCGTCATCAATGCTTCAGAGTTATTTCGCGGCCATTGAAAGCAATCGAGGTGGCGCGTCAGGTTTCCAGCTGCAAATTAAAATTATCCAACGGGAAAATCTATACTCGCTTAAACGCGAAACAATTTCACCCGATGTTGTTTCCCTTTCCTTTTTTCTCCTCCGGCCCGTGCTTCAGGAAATAATTGAAAATTCGTTATAGATCGATGCGTGGCATAGGCTTTTAAGCTCCAAAAATATTTTCGCGAAAGCTGTGTATAACACGAGATGTTTTCGCCCCCTACCGACATTTTCTCATGACTTATGACTTTTCCGCGCACGTCGTTGATCACGGTGCGCCGGTGCGCAAATATCGGTACGTGTACCGTGCATAGTTCACTCGTGGGTCGTCAATTAGCCCGGTCGTTCACATGGAATCGTCCAATTTAACGATACACGTCTGTGGAAAGATTTCCACGGCGGTCAGTGTTTGACAGCGCGATTTACTGTTTACCAATTCATGGACTTCGCGTCAATTAGCAAATGAGCGAGTTCCGCGATTTCATGCGGTTCCCGACATAGCATAAGAGTATATACATGAACATGAAATGATATGGATTACACGTTCAATTATTTTAGAACAATTGCATCGTCATAATTCTTAAATGTATCTGCGAAAATCTTCGTCCAAATTATCCTTCAGTCATGATGCTACAGTCTTGCGGTTCAAGCAGTTTGCAAGATAATGTTTAGAAACAATATAGTTGCATTTTCGCAATGGCATTTGGACATTACATGTATCGTCTGCTTTCGTCGCTCATACACTGAAAAAAAAGTGCTACCGTTCAAGTAATATTTACTTAATAATAATAATACGTTATTCTTTCTATACTTTTATCATAGATAAATAATGAAGATAGGTAAACTTGCTGTTTCTATATAGGGACAGAGGAACCAAATGGTAAACTTTAATAATTTCATTTTTAAACTAAATTAATTTATATATAATAATTTTATTATACTGTAACGTAACACAGATTCTTTTTTATATAGGTATTACAAAGGATTAATTTTTAAAAATAATATTTTTTTCGAAAAATAAATTTTAATTAAATAGAGATATACTTTCTATAAAACTTTTGTATAAAACTTTTTTGATATTTCATTTAGTTTACGAAATGTATTAAAAAAAGCGGAAATCTCTGCACCTTTGAAGGATGACTTTACCTTTTTGTTCCTTTTTTATCGTTTTCAACCCCAATTAAAAATTTCTAATCATCTGTTTACCCACTCTACATTTATTTATATAAGTATCATTCAAATCTGAATTTTTCAGTTTGCGAGGGTTCCCTTGTTAGTAACGAATCGTTCGGTATGCTCGCAGCTGAAGCACACGGCGCCCTATTTTATATCGGTTCGATCGTTTCCTACACGAGGATCCCACACACTCGTGAGTCGCCGAGATACGAGCGCCGGGGAGAGAATAGCTGTCGCGGCACACTGAAATTGCCTCGAAAGCGCAGCTAATTTCCCGCGCGCTGTCGTAGAACAGTGATAATTTCGAGTTCTCGGGCGCATCGGACGGCGGCTCTCTCAGCCGCAAGTCAATCAACGGAGTCGGTCAGGTGCGCGATAGAATCGCCTGGTAACTTTTCCCTTTCTTCAGCCGGGACGAAACTCGCCTAACTTGACACCGGGTGATTACACCCCGGCCCGGCGAGGGGATGCGCGAGCGCGGTTTGGAATTAGAGAGTATGCCGCGTTAAGTACGCGGGATCGAATCTTCACCTGTTACCGCGCGCGACTTCATCAGTATGGGTTCATTAGTATTCCGAAGACGTTCACGTGGGTGTGTAGAGCAGACGTGTCCGTGCGTCGAATGCCGGGCTTCGACTTCAGCCGTGTGTGTATCACCGGCCATCCACCCCCGCTCGCTCGCCCACCCATCATCAGCCAGCACACATTCACGATGCCGAGAGCAGCTCGAGGCAGCTCGCCGGTTAAGTCTGGCGGTAGGAAAGTTTCCGTCGATCTAATTGGTTGAATTTCTGTGGGGCAACCGCCTCGGGGGAAACTTGTCCGCAATTTCCTATGATGTCGGTGAGAATGAAGAGGGTGATAAGACGAACGTGCCTGTCGGAGAGAGAGAGAAAGAGAAAGAGGAAGAACACGTGCGCGCATCGCGTGTATACGAGACGAAAGTGCGGGACCGAAAGAAAGTAAGGCGTTCCCGGAGGACGCGAAGGACCCTCTCGCTAGAAACGACGGCACCGAGACCGCAAGGAAAATACGGGGGATATCACGTATTCATGCCCGTGCGCGGTAATCTTTTTCGTATTCCGTGACGTAATTGAAATATCTATTGCTCGTATGAAAGTCCCGGGCGCGTAACGCGACGAAATGCGAATGAGGGTGCAAGCGTGACTGATCGAAAGACGGACCCCATGGGAGAACATCCGGGAGGAAGATATGAATTCTACCCAGTTACACGTTTACACGTGCGCGTCGATTCGTGGATTTCTGTTTCTTGCTGCGAAAGAACGAGGGCACGTTCTCTCTGCGTTATTGCAATTCCAGAGACGAGAGTCGCGCCCGTTTCACGCGCACTGCAACAATACGGGTGCGAAACGCGTGAGTGGTTGCGCGCGCTCACGAAATATTCGCCACATCGCCGCGTCTTTCAGCGACGCAGAAGCAGAGTGGATTTCAAGATGATTAATTTTCTTCGTGCCGGCATTTCCCGCGCTTTCCCGGTGACATCTAAGCCGAAGCTTCCGCGCGAGCTTGTAAGCCGGGTAAAATGAGATGGGCGAGTTTCCTATTTCTTAAGATTCTTATCAACTGAGAGATTTCTTATCTCGTAAGAATAAGTGATAAAACGGAGGAGAGGGAGGTGGAGCAGTAATATGATTTCCGAACTTTATATTTTTAAACTTCCTCTCATAAACACCGCATTAAGCCAAATTGTTTACTGTCTTTAAGGCAGTTGGTCCGTAATTTTATTTTCTTAGGAATCTTTTCGAATTTTAATAGCATGTCAATCGAAACACGATCTATATGTACGCAAAATTGAAGAAAGATTGGCCGTGTCGAAGCTGAGATAATCGAAGTCAAAGTAAGCACTAAGTATTACAGATATGAAAACGACTTCTGACATATGACATATTTAATTTTAGCGACCAAACTGTTTCAACAATTTCGATGAAAAACGAAAAGTCTAGTTCATCTAGTTTCCTAGGAAAATTGAAGTGGTAAAGTACACTACATCGTTTTAACATTTACCAGGCCTAGTGAAACTTTTTGATACATTGAAAACTGTCACTGTGTGTTTAATGAAATGAATGAAATTTTTATACATTGAAAACTGTCACTGTGTAATGAATGAAATGGAAGCGCGACGTTATTAGCGTATTTGTACGCAACGAGATGTTAACATTTCATACAGAGTACATGGAAGTTATTCAGAAGTTATTACGTTCCATTTACGCAACCATGCATAATATAAAGGGCTGTTATTGATCCATTTAAAAACTGGAAAATAGACACGGTTCAGAAATCGTCGCTAACTTTAGCAATAATCGTTCATATACGTCTTTCGCCGACGCATTTCGATTTGTTCAAGCTAAACAAAGGCTGAACAAATAGCCGGTCCAGAACACGAGCAAAATCACAGTCCCGCTCCAATTTTTGGAATACTCGCGCAATATCGTTAATAATTAATAATTACACCGCTCGTACGTCGGCGCGCACAACTTTACACGATAATCATCTCAATATTATTCCGAAACAGCTGCAACTCGTCATTAATACGTGCGGAAAACAGCCATTATGCATGCCAAAGGGAAAGACCGGCTGTTATCGTGAAAATGGAAACTCTGAAAATTATTACGCGATCGATATTCGCAACGCGGGTATCCGCACTGCGCGCGCTTTACGCGTTCTCTCGTTTCGCCCGGTTCAAAATGTAAGTCATTCACGCTAAGTGAAGATCGTAAACGCCCCGTCGTAAATTTTACCATTCATAGCGTCTACGCATCTACGCGCACTGCGTGTGCATGCGATCTTCAGTGTCCGTAGTTAACGGTATCGTTATTAAGCATTACTACTTCCGGTTTCTCGCCGCGATCGGAACGAGAGGGCATCCAGTTCTAACGTCGTACGCAACAAAGAAGAATACAGGATGCGCGGAAGGTGATTCAGCCGGTGATGTCAGCGACCGGAGTGTTGCTTGTAACGTTCGCATTTCCGCGGGGAGTTTCGTTATCCGCAATTTTACGGACGGCGCGGGACGCAGGCGGCGAGAGCGGATTAAAGTAATTCGTAACGGCGGCAGGGCGAGGCGGTGAACGGGAAAGGTTACGAGAACGAATATTCGATAACGATCAAGATATTCTCGGCAAGCACCGCGTTGGAAACGATGGGACTGTAAATGCAGTCGCTCTCATATTCCGCGGAGTGAGAACATCGCGCTGTGATTTGTGTGTGCGACGCCTCTTAATCGCGCACGGTAAAGAAATTATTATCAATCCAAGACTCGTATTCTCTTATATTCGAGCGAGATATATAATCTTATATGAAGATAACACTTGCTCTTATACATGAAGGAATTTCTCACAGTTTTACTAAAAATATCATATATTTCTATTCAAAAGTCGTCTTCTTCAAGGTCCATAATATCACCTTCTCTTCTATTAATTTCTCATCTGTGTTGAGAGCCTTGCGTGT